CGGCATTTCTGCATTTATTCAGTTTCCGCATTTCTGCATTCCTTCACGGTCGCAAGCTATGAACGCGGCCATACCGGGTAAAACAGATCATCTGTGCATTGGAGTGTATTCCTTTTCCAGCATTTTGTTTTTCGTAATTTCTAAGTTTTCTCGTGCACTTTTGCGCGGAAAAAGAGGCACGGTCTGCAGCTAGGGATCCGTTCACCTTGCATCTGGCAAGGAATCATTGAGCATGCCAGCGTACTTTTTATCCTTGAGGCGTACTTTTGCTCAACGGGATTCATCGTTGCTCTGAGTGAGATAATGACATAAACCAAGCCTTACAGTCTGCGTCCTGCTCCTGAAGTATTCCAATTTACGTAGTTTTTTTTGAATGATTTCCCTGTTCTTTTATTGAAGAAAGGCGACCGAGACCTCATGAGCAACACTAAGCACATTTCATTGCTGAGAACGAAAGCGCTATATGAGGAAAGATAGTGTGGACCGCAAAGGACGTCCTTGCACCGCTTCGCGTCAGAAAGTTGTAAGACGTTCAGTGTAAAGTTGTGGAGTTGTTCAGTCGGCCCTCGTGAGAGCAAGGATCCCCTCCTGTTGGGCGTTTGTCGTTTTGATAGTCTCTGTACTCTGTCAGCCTTCCTGTCTTGTCCTCTCACCCAATTCTCAGCGAGTCATCATCATCATCTCTAGCTTATCTCTTGCTTGGCTTTTCATCTGTTCATCTTTTAGGAGCGCCTTATTCAAATCGATTTCAATGACCTCTGATTTTTCCTGACATACGTCGAATTCAACTAGGACATACATTTCAGTGTTTCTAGCGCCATCTACTATGTTTTCGGCAGAATTGTGTCTTTTACTACTCCTCCTCCCCCCTTGTGAACAGTCTGGTTTCAGGCCGCAGACGGCCTGTCTTCGAATTGCACTGATTTGAAGAGTGTAGGTCTGCCAGCTGCGCACGCTGAGTTACCCCCGACTTCTCTGGTCTGAGCTTATTGAGGCGAGCATGAGGTGATCATGAACATCGCATCCAAACAAACGATTTGTCTAAAACGATTGGTCTCTTGAAAACCATGTGGACACAAACGCCTACTTACCTGGCTTTGAGATAAGCCTTCCCTTTTAATATGAAGAGAACTTGCCTGCCTGTCTTTCCGAAATAGCACATTCGTGGCAGCGACATTTGTTCCAACACGTGTTAGTATGGGTTTATGGAATACGTCACGAAGGCTCGGATGAGGAGCGTAGTAGACGGGGTGTAGTTCAGGACGTTCATCTGAGGACAACAGCCTTGTGTTCTTGCCAGTTAGTTGAGTCAATGCTGCGGTGCCAAATCAGCTTACGTCCTGGATGGCGACGATCTGGCGGGAGATGTCACTAAACGTCTTATGAGTCCCTACTCTATATCACTGTGGCCGAATAGAAAGCAACCACTGGTGGAAACCGCTGCCGGCGGACACTTTCACCTATCCCAACACCGCAGCGAACCATATCAAATGCTCCGCCCAGTAGACAACCTTGTCGAGCCTCCATGACTTACAGTCGTCATCCAGGCACTTGATTAGGGCGGCAAGGGTCGCGACGCGGCTGCGGCGTGTCACGAGCGCGGCGATCAGCTGTTTCCAGCCTATTTTAGCCATTTTCTCCCTATGTCGCCTGCGCTCTGACTGTGACTCTTATTGAGCATTAGCCTCTTTGGAGTGAGAAAGGGATCCTCCGCGGTCCCTCATCACCTCGTTCTCTTCAAACTGCATTGCTGCTCGGCCGATAAAAAGCACTATGAAACGAATCCCGAGAATTCGTTACGTGTGCGTCCTTGATCTGACAGATCTACCGACTGCATGTTGTAAGCCACTCGGTTGTGCTAAAGTTAGATTCTTGATTTATTTCTACGCCTTACAATGCAGAAAGTCTTCTGATTGAAAGCGACGTGGGCGTTGAGGCTACGCCCAGACAAGCTCTGCTTTTGGAAGCGGTCTTGTCCCACTTGGAGGATGTCGACATCTTCGAACTCTTTCGAAGATTCTGATGCAGACCAGCAACAACATTTTAAGAAGAACGATTGCGTATCCACTATTCTCCCTTTCTACTGTGAAAACGCGAGAGTTGTAAACAAACCATATTTATTAATTATTTTCAGAGTCCACGCAAACAAATTAAATGCTTGCAGTCCCCAACATGATCGAACTGGAATTTGCACTTGTGACAGTTCTTCGCAGTACATTCAATACGGCAACTCCTCCACGCATCTGAAAAATTCTGCCGCTTACAATTAGACTTCTCAAAGACACCAGAATTACAGCCAGCACAATCAAATTGCCAAGACCCCAACCCATACAACACCGGCTACAGCGGGATTCCTCTGAACAAGGGTGGAGGATGCACTTATTTCGCAACCTAAAAATACGAGACATGCTTGTGAAGAGGATGCCGCCCCGCCCACCTGGCTGCCATAACTGCTTTGGCTTAGCCTTTAAAGGCTGAGCCCGCTTTCAAGAATAAGTTATGGAGCTCATTTTGGTCCAGTAGTGAAGAAAAAAGCAGAAAAAAAATCATGAAAATGCCCTATATAGAACCCTATGCTGGCCAGGTGGGCGGGGCGGCCGACTCTTCACTAGCGAACGGCGCTATCCTCTCGCCTTTTTGAGATGCAAAACTAGTACATACTGCATCCTCATAGGGAGGGCTATGATATCCAGAGAGGGCGCGGGAACATCAAATGAACGTGGGCGCTGCCTTTGGATATAG